ATACATGTATTTGGTTCTTTTAATTGCACGATATTATATAATAAGATCAGTGTTTGAATATCAACGTGAGATGGAAAAACGTGACACGTGGCGCGCAAAGATCTCAATAATTATTTTCGTAAATAGAATAATCGTCGAGTGCAAAATGTCACGTTCACGCGTACGCGTGTGCGCTCGGAAAAAAAAAAGTGACACGATTTGCGTTTTCTCGCGCGGCTCAATAATCGCCGCCGACAGAAAGAGAGAGAGCCCCAGACAGCTGACTACGGGATATTGGTAATTGCGATAATTGTCCGCGATAAGACGCGGATCTTTCTCCCAGTCGCCGCCGTATCCACCGGATGCGCTTCCCAGAACATCGTGCGACTTATATCCCGCGCCGCCGCGCGTTATCACGCGAGCTTTCTATGAAAAGCGAACCGGGAGCGAAGAGGGGAACCGCGGCGTATCCGCTCCAAGGTTTTTACTCTCGATAGGCACGAAGGCAACATATATCGAGGGAGAGAGCCGCGGCGTCTCTCCCGATTAAAATTACGCTACGCTTGTTTACGTAATTACAGTGAGGCGCATTAAGAGACGTTATCTTGCCGCATTTGCCAAGATTACTTAATCGCTTACGAGCTGCAATGTCTTTTTAAACGTGCGAGTAGATATAAAGATACCGACGACAATAACCATGTAAGTGCAGCGTGGAGTTTGTTAAACGTAATTCGCGTAATGCGAAAGATTCGTATACCTGTCCGATATGGAGATGCAAACAGATTTTTCTCTCGAGATCCGATCGAGGATTTGTCCGACTTTGTCAAGCGCGAGAATCAACGCTTAATGTTATTGCGAGACGAGAAGGCAGACGGTTGTAATTAAATGCGCGTCGGGATTCTAAACGAAACTCACGTCATGCGAATGTCGGCAGCACGCGTTCGACTTCGAAATCATCGTTAACGTCGGTGCGCGCTTGTCTCTAGTAGAAAGGCTCGCGTATATCGCCAAGGCTACAGGTAATCGGGATAATTTGATGGGATTGTACCTATCAGAAGAGGAAGAGGAGAAGGCGGACGGATGGCGGCGAGGGAGAGAAGAAGAAGAAGGGAAACGAAGGAGGCCAGAGAGAGGCCGAGAGCAGTCAAAGAGAAGTTCAGAGGGCCAATTTACCGGACGAGATTAAGCCCGCGAGAAAAAGAAATTGGAATCGAGACGAAAATTATGGGATCTCACGTTCTCTTCGTCGAGTCCTTTTTTCGTCCTTTCCACGCCGCGCCCTGCACACACATACACGCTTTCCGAAGCGACGTAAATCAAAGATCGAGAAATAAATTCCATATTAGATTAATAAAAATTGGACGATCGCAATTTTTTTTTTTTTTTTTTTTTTACTAAAAATATTGTGAAATATTTCTAATTTCATACAGAAAGGAGGATCTTTATTAAGACATGCGTAAAAATTATTGCAAAAACTTCAACTTTTATGTTAACGATAAACAAATTTGATATCAAGACCTTATTATATATGAAATTCTATATTATCTCTTTTATTCCCCCTTTCAGTTGCGCATTCCAAATGAGTATCCGTGACTCATATGTTGCGGTTTCGCGAGACGGATGCAGCAGAGATTTGATAACACGTAATGCGAAGTTATGGAACATCAAAAGAAATTATTAGATGGCTAACGTAATGCAACACGATCGAATCGAAAGAGTATCGAATTAAGTAAGACTATAGATGCATAAAAAGTTTATACTCGTTTGACAAAGAGTGTAATTCAACGCATTATATATAATTTATTTAGTCTCTTTTTTTTTAAATTAGTCTTACTTTTATTTTTCTCACAGAAGCCTAATATTTATATTGAACAACAATAAACGTTAGAATGTTAATATCAGATTAATTTTTTTTGTTTACGAAAGATTTCGTAATAAATTCTGAAACGTGCAATATAATTATATGAAAGAGATATGAATTTGAATCCATATTTTTGAGTATGTGCATCAGGAATTATTTAAACGAATCTTCGATTCGTAGGAGAGACTAAATGGAACAACATATATTTCTAATTCGACATCAATCGTCTAAATGAACGACCGTGGTGCACCATCGAATTACAGGCTCTCGAATAATTTCCAGCTCGGCAAAAGTCGTGCGTGCGAAATCAAAAATCACGACGATGACGCGATCGATCGAGATTATTCCGCGCCGCGAACCGATACTCGGGGAATGTTATTTCCCCGGAGCGATACAAAATACACACAACTGTGTGTAAGACTACCTGGCCAGATCGGAGCTCTAGAATTAGAGAGACCCCCGAATCATTAAAGTCCCGAAGGATAAGATAACTGACCGGTCGAGAGATTCGAGGCCAGAACTTATAAGAAAAATGTTGGCCAGATCTCTGGTTTGTGCCACCAAGCAATTATATACGGGGAAGGAATATCCGGTCCATATATCGGTCTCTAGATACGGGGAGCCGAGGTCTGGAAATACCTACGAATTTTCACGCGAACCATATGGCACCCTGTTTCATCGCTCACAACGAAACATACATAAGCACACGTACTTCGCATACAGGCTCGATGAACTGCATGGGTCTAAAGTAGGGATGTAACGTTACATGGGTCTGAAGAGCAGAAGGCATGCTGAAATTGTGTCGGACGACCCTTTCCTTTGATGTTTTCGAAACCGTCATTTTTTCCGAGACCTTCCGAAAAAAAAATTCTCTACGGGGGATTATGTTAAATCCGAATAATATTTCTACAATAGTGTAGAAAGATTGAAGAGATTTCTCGGTTTTACGAAACGTCAATTTTTGCTGTTAATAATACTTTCTAGTACCTAGAGCAATATATATTTGATTTATGTCACAGCTCTGAGAATTTTTACAATATTATATTGTATGTGTGTCGAATCTTTCGTTCTTGGCGGCAACCGCGGGTGCGGGAGAATAAATATATTTCTATATTTGGAACGACTGATTTCTTTCGGTCAAAGACGCTGCCGCGAACTTCGCCGATCGATACATAAGCATGAAAAAAAAACACTGTTTATGACGTTGAAGAGACAAGTCCCGCAAACAAACATTGCGTTATTTTGCGATATTTTGCGTTTCATCCAACGTTATCTCAACGTACTATTATATTCTTCAAATCAAAGACTAGAATTCTTTTTGACAAGTCTAATAATGTACTGAATCATTGTCGGATGGATTAAACCGATGATCGGAGATTTTATCCTTACGGTTGTTCCGCTTTAAGATTACGTCTATATTTTTCTATACAGATCCAAATAATTCTCTAGTTCTTTTTTTCGAAATAGATTGTAAAAAAAAACCATCGTAATCGAATACAAAGATGAAACAATTTTATTTAACTGTTTTTTTAATGAATAATAATGATGATATAAAAATAATTGATAGATTGATCATTATATAAAAATAATCGATAGTGAGCTTTCGTGTTAGGAATGGCTTAATGTACACTCTAATAATAGAAACCACGGAGGATATTTTCAATTATCGTGAAAAAAAGACGCGAAATTGCCCCGTGAATAAACGCACGTGTGATGTTTCGAGAAATCGCGCCTGTCATTTCCAGCTGTGTAACCAACGCGGTCGTCTATCATAAATTCATAAAAGTCGCATCGATGAATATGAAAGAGAATAAGCCGTGAAGCAATAAATTTCGTTAACACTAGAGATTTATACACTTCGCGCCACGCGCGCAGATAAGAATGTAGCTTATATGGTCCGTTTTTAAGATAAATTTCTTCTATGTTATTATAACAGTATCATTGAGATGCAATGTTTTTTCTTTTGCATTATAATATTCTCGCTAAAATCATATTTCTCGTATTTCTCGTTTATCAAAACTGGGGAAAGCGCTCTCAAAATATTAATCCGACTTAAGGAAACGACTGTCGTGCAATAATGTTCGACAGCAAATCCGACTGTGATGAAGGAAGTTTCGGACTGAACTTTTTATCTGCGTCGCTTTCAAAATAAATAGCTTAACCCTCGTCATTCGAATACTGACGCATTCAGACTCACAGACCCATATAAGTGTATACACATACACTTTTACCTTATTTAATACCTATACTGAACATTTTCTTTAGAAAAACCAGAAACCTGCAGAAATCCTATAATAAGTATAAAAAGGTTTTACAGGATCGAACATTTTCAACCGAAAAATGTATTCCGTGAAATAAAACATAATATGGATCCGCTAATAGGTACGCTGGTCGGCTGTCAGACGATCCGCCTTCTGAGGATTAATTTAATAGCCGACTCGAACAAGCCGTATCGTGTATCGACGCAATTTCTGTCTAATGCGAAGTGATTTTTATCTCGATTCCTATAATCGTAGTTCTCTTTCACGCAGCTACCTTAACACGTCCGCGGATAATGAGGGATGTATCGCGATGTTAATATTTTGCGGTGTACAACCGCAAAAAATGTATCATAAATTTTTACTCTAACATCGGCAATATAATTTAGCTACGAAAAATATTTTAAACCGAAATATGTTCGCTTTTATGTTTTTTTACGATTTAAGATTTATGGCTGGTTTCCGTTTAAAAGAAAATTTGTGTTCGAAAGTTATTCTAATGTAGAGTCATAAAACATTCTAGAGATAATAAAAACGTGCCTTATTGTTAGTATTATTCAGGGTTCCTTTTAAATTGATACTAGCCATGACAAATGAAAAATAAAATAGAAAGTGTCTATTTAAATTTTCGAAAAAATTCTGAGATTTTTCAATTTTATTTTCGTTCAAATTTCTATATAGAAAACAATATAGTTTTTATAAATACAAATGTAATAGTTTTTAAATATAAATTTATCTCATTTCATGTTTCCCTCATACAACAACGGGAAAAAATGGAAGAAAAACTGAGTCTTAAAATCAAACCAAATTTTCGCAGTTTCGAAAAAAATTCCAAGAAAAATTGGCAAAATTCTCTGTAATTTTTTCCAAGTATATAAAGTAAAATTGGAATGATCACTTACCTGAGTCGCATCTGAGTAAGGCGTCAGCGAGTTTTGATCCACCAGTAAAGATCCGAATACGATGGGTATCCCCGAGGGATCCTGCTGCGTTGGCACCATTTTCGGGCCGGTTTTCCGAAAAAAACTTCACGTACACTTCACTTCAATTAAACAACGGCGTGAAATCGACGCCTCGCATATCACAATCCGCGCGCTTCACCAGCGAATGTGAGGACTACTCTCGTTTTATCCTCGATCGCTATCGATCACTCTCTGTCGCAGGCGCGGATTCTCTCACCAAAAGGACGTACTTCCGTACGTCGGAATAAATCCGATATATCTCGCAGCGGCGAGATACTTCAACACAACTCGAGTACTCGTTTCTCTCGAACGAAACTTAAATCCGCGTCTGAACGGCGACTCGGGCGAAAATTACTTGAAGGACTTGTCAAACGACGCTCCTCTCGTGACCGCGACTCGACTGTGGATGACGAACTAGAGTGCGCGATCCAGCTTGCGAAGCTTGTCCGAAAACGTATTCCGCATCCACGTGCTCGTAGAGCAGCGATGATTACAGTGCGTGTCAATCGTATTATTTTTTTTCGTGACTCGATCTCGATACCGGGACGATGTTGCACGCGCGTTTAGACTTAGACGTTAGACGATCCTCTCACAGTCGCTCGTCGATCACAAATTAACATCCTCGCCCGCTTCGGGAACGAAATACCTCTGTACTCACTCCACGAGCGCTCATGTGCTACTGACTGAAAACGTGCAGCTCCCCGAGAACTCTATAGAGCGCTCAGCTGTGAGTAGTCCCCACTCTCAAAGAGAGCACCGGCGCGCAGCCAATCTGCGTTTGTCGGTCTTCCCCACTCGATCCCACTTCATCTACCTCGACTACCTCGGCTCGATCCGATCGAGTCGATCGCTGCTTTGCAATCACTCTGCCGCGGTACGCCGCGCCGCACGTACGTATCGTAGAAGTGCGTTTGTTTATTCAACGTGCATCGTCGGTGTCAAACACGATCGCATCCATGGTACCTACATTTTTTCATCTTCTTTTCCTCTTTCAGTGGAGAGGAATTTAATAAGGAGAAAAAACGTAGTCGTACTTTATAATGAACCGGAATGGTATATACGGATGTAAAATTATGTAATTATATTAAGCATAAATAAATATTAGACTGTTATTTATGTTATTTTTAAATTGGAGAATTATACATTAGAAAAGGACGTTTAGTACAATAAATGCAAAATCCCCCCGTCATATCTGTTCCGTGTAATTTAATTTAAAAGTCAAACCGGATAAGATAAAAACTTCTCTTAAAGAAAAAAAACAGCTAGTACGCGGGGTTACTGTGCCTGATGTCCTTGTATCTTCTCGCGATTAGTTTAATCCTGTGCAACTTGGTGCGACCGCGAAGTCGCGTTATACCGGTTTGGATACTTGGATGCCATGCCTGCGGGGGCGTAAAAACATGCGAAATTAAGAGATTACGATCAGCGTGGCGTACACTTTCTCATATGACGGGCTTTTGAATGCGTCCTTACGTATGCCAGATAATATATCTTGAGAAGGCGTGTGTTGTGGAGAAGAAATTTGAATCGTGAACCGTTAATTTAATCCCAGTACAGCTTAAAATGACTTCCAAATAACATAGTAAATAACGTCCCTTTAAATCATTTTTTTTTTCGCTAATTTCTGTATCCTTGTCGACTTGAGACACAAAAGTATGAATAAATATGTAGACATAAAACTAGACATAAAATCTTGCAAAATCAAGTTTTGTCATTTTATTTTGTTTCTCAAGATCACACATAAAAAACGTCATAATTGAGCTGCGGATTGCGTGACTGAAAATGCAAACTAATTGATCATTTATTTTCAACGAGAAAAATTGGACATTTTTTCTCTAACCGAAGGAGAATTATATGTGTGTCGAAATATTTATTGAATAAATAAACACGGCCGTGATATAGTGTTTTATCACTGTTTACACACATTATTTACTTACGAAGTGCGTACTTTGTATTTGATCGTGAGATCGTAAAAATGATTTCTTGCTTCTCACTCGCTCTCGTCTTTTTCTTTCGCTCCCCCTCTTTCCTTGCATACGTATTAAAAAGTACGGATATGACATCGTAAAAAATTGCATGCACGGTAGACTTTACACGTAAACAGCTTTAGTGTCAGTCAATCCCGCTATTCGTGTTCCTTCGAACATAATGTTCTGCACATGGCTGTACTTAGGGGAGTTGCATAATAATACTCGAATCACCACATTTTCCATTCTCATAGAAATTCTCTAGAGACGCATTAGCTCTGTCAGGCGTGGTGCACAGCCAGCTGGACAGTTTTTTCCGTAATTGTTTTACGCGGAAATAACAGATCGGACTTCATAGAGCTCATTTATGCAAATCATAATGTAATAATATGTTGGATTATTACAATGAATTGATTTTCCATTCCTATATAATCAATAGAATCACGTTTATAGTTAGATGGATTTTTGTTCCGTAATGCATGTAAATATAATAAAAATTTAATCTTTATTGAATAGGTATATTTACATAGAGTCCCCGGAAAAATAATCCGAAAAATTCAGCAGTGATAGATTAAATATTTTTTTGAATAAGTGTTTTAGGTATACATGTTATATATATTTATAACACTTAGAAAAATGTTAAAAATATTCTATCAAATTAATTCCTGCAAATCTACTAACAATATAAGTTTTAATAAAATCGTAGAAATAGTTGTTGTATAAAACATTACTTCTTTAAATAAAATAATTTTGTAAGATACTTTATTTATTGAATGTGATAGCAACAATGTCAATTTACCCTTTCGTATTATATATATTTATTTCGCGATAATTAAAATTATTAAAACAATAAACGTGTTTTACGTGCGAACTTCTGGTCGCATCGTTCATTCGAAAGTCGAATTTCTTTCTGATAAATGTCTCGATCTATAAATGCAATACCACAGAAAGCGCATTGCGCTCGTTTCGCCTACCATATATTTTTAGTAACCACGCCATACCAGGACGACAACGACGACGACGACGACGACGACCCTCGGTACGTATAAGAGTCGTCGAGCGATGAGTCCATCCAAATTCTTTATTTTGCGCAAACACACGTTAAGAAAGGAACACGTTGAAAGTCATACAAATATAAACCATATAATACACGAGAAACTCTAACGAAACTCTTTCGGCGAAAACGACGAACGCTTGCTGCTCTTGTTCTTTCGTGCTTTCGACTTCGAGAGGAAGCCTTACGTAATGCTATCAGAGCCCATAAATTCCCACTACTATCGAATAAAGCCATATACGTCCAGCGCGACGTTTAAAAAATGACGATTCCCTCATCTCTACTCGCTTCGACGCGTTTCTTTTTCACGCTCGGGATAGCGTTGGATATCTTAATTTTTGGCAGAACGACAAGCTGTTTATGCTTATAAATACGTCGTTCTCACCTGACTAGATCTCTGCTCTTTGCTGTTTTTTCGTCACTGCCAAGGTTAACCCTTGAATATATAGGTCAGTTCCGCGAAATAGACTATTTCTACGAAACGAACGTGATTATTTTCAAGACTATAATAAATCGTCGGGTTTCAAAGAACATCTTTTTTTAAAAATTGCTTAGCCTATCAATCTACCTAAGTTTTAAAATAGAGTCTTTAACATATGCTAAATTATCAAATTTAATTAATTACTTATTTATCAATTGCGTCAATTTTTTAAACGAATTTTTTTTTCTCGATTTTAATGCAAAATATGCACAAGTTTATGTATTTCAAATATAAAAATAATCTAAAAATATTTTAATAAAGAGAGATATTCTCCTTAGCTTCCTGATTCGGACGGTTTATTGGTGGACAGGTAATGAGCTCAGGATCTCTCCGAGGATTAAAACGATCGGGGAAAATGGTGGGTCGTGTCTAGAATTCAGCGATGGCAGCGGCAAAAGGATGCGTTCGTATTTCAAGCGCAAACATAAAAGTGATATAGGTCGATGTCGGTGGAGCGGTTTCGATCCTTCCAAGGTCCCATGTTTTGGGTCTCGTCGAATTGAGGGGAAGCAAAAAGGAAACGATTTCACCATCTCTGTCTCCCTCTCTTTCTCTAATGGAAAAAAGTACATCGTCCGGCTCCTGATGGGTGCGGTCGCGTCGCCGTTTTAACCGGATGCTAACTGCAACTTGAGAATACTAAACGCTTCCCCGATGTGTTTACGAGAAGTACATTTCTGACGATACATATGTGTACTATATACCGTAGTTCTCAGAGTCGACTCACAAGAGATAAGAATGAGCGTTTGTTAGAAAAATATTTTCTTTTTTTTCGACCACCATGCAAAGAAAATTTACTCTGAAAATCATGGTAATCGTGTGGGACAATATGGTATTGGTAGAATTTTAGAAGAGTTTCTCCGATTAATATTTTTATCACAATAACAAATATTTATATTTATACTACAATAAGATATAAAATATGTTCCATTAATTTTATTATGTACATAGTAAAATTTACCATGTACACATTAATATTTTTACAATTACCACGATTTTCAGGGTAAATTCTAAAAGAAAACTCTCTTCACGCACACATTCTGCCACTGCTGTTATGTATGTGTGTTTGTGTTGTATCGCGATTCATGAAAAAATGTTTTCATTTTCTGATATCTGTTTGTCAAGCAATTAAGATAATTTTATTATTAAAACTTTTAAGTTTGAAAAATTGAAAAAAGAAATAATGAGCATTACTGTAATGGAAATATTTATGCATAGAAAAATTTATTCTTTAACTTAGAATTTTTTAGTATAGAAGCTTTTGTTTAAGAAGCCTATAATAAATTGATTGCAAAATAACTCGATTTTTATTTCTGTTCAAAAGAGTTTCGAGAAATCTGAAAACATAAACCACCTTTTCTATAAATTATCTATCAGATCTGAAATTTAAAAAGCAGTATATATTTGATGCATTGAAATAAAAAATCTCTCTTATTTTTCTTCACAGTTTGTTATATGCAAATAAACGGAAATTTGAAAATATATTGAAATTTATATTTTAAATTTATATCTTGATTTAAAATCTGACTAGGAAAATCTGTTTCCTGCGAATCTGTTTTTTGCGCAATATCAGGAAGCATAAATCACACTTGAAATATACGCAGGCACACGGTCGCGATTTTTCGCTGACCCTGTTTAATTCTAATCGCTCATAAACGCGTAATAGATTCTCCGCTCTCTGCGCGAGCACATTAAAAACATCATAAATAGCCGGGTCGTCAAGATAACGCGTAATTCTTTTCGACCGCGCGGACATGTGTGTTGAAATCAATCAATGTTAAGCAGGGTCAATAGTCATGCGGTGCAGCGTGCGCGATAAGGCTCAAGATCGGGAATTATCTGAACGCGGTAAATACATTTAATCCCGATAGCCCGTGCACGATGCATCGTCCTCGTCCGAGATGCAATTCTCCGCGCGCAGACACTCGAGCGCAGGCATTACACAATTTAAGAGCGAGTTTACGCATGTTGCGATACACATATGTCCGCGCATTGTCATAAATTATACCTAATCGCGACCGCGCGATTTAATTCAATCGCGCTTACATTACGATTATACGGAATCGATAGTTTCTATTGCTTACTTAATTTATACAATCGTAAGTATTATTCGTATATATCTCTCGTATATTGATGACATTTAATGATCATCGTATCACTGGCATTTTCTCCAATAATTCGAGCATG